AAACAACTAGCACGTGTTAAATTATTTGTTACAATCATGCAGGTAAATATAACTAATGGAAAGAAAATATATACATTCTTATTTTATTTTTTTTCAAATTAGATAAGTCAATTTATAGCTGCAGCTGTTGGATGTACGTTTCGTTTTCATGCAATGCTTTTTAAAAATGATAAAACTTGTTATGATTTTCCTGTTTTATTTGTTTTAATTTTTCTTGCACATTCGATATCATTATTATTTCTTTTTCTCAATTATTTTTTTCAAGAATATATTTTAAAACGAAATCAAAAACGTCGTGAACCAAAACTAAACATAATAAAAACAAAAAATGGTTATATTAAAACTGCCAAAGATGAATAAACATTTTTTTATTAACTTAGGATTTTTTATTAACTAGAAAAAAGTTTTTTTTTCTTTAATAAAATAAAAAAAATTATATTTGCTTGTCGTTATACATGAGTGATTAACGTATCATATTCAAATCTATTGTATCTAGAGTATACAGTCTACTACACCTTGATGACGTTATTTTTTTGATACAGTGTGGGTGTGGTATGGCAATGTCCCTAGAAGAAAAACATTGGGTTGTATTCATAGAGCTTACATTTTCTCTTTTTTTTAATTTAATCATAGAATTGAAAAAAATATCAAAACTCAATAATTTTCATATCATGTCAGAGCGCGATTTGTTGAATAAAATGTAAAGCGAACTGGATGATATTCGAGTTTCATTCGACTACGAAATGCGATGCGAAGCAGGATTTCGAAATAACAATTTTAAGATTTTCACAACATTATTTAGATGATTTATTATCTATTTTCAGCTGTAGAACAGTTGTTAGAGAAAAGTGGAGCCTAACTTTTGTTTTTGCTTTTCGTTTTAATTATCTCGAAATTTGAAAAAGTCAAAATCGTGTTTTTGTGACGCTTCCTGTAAACGAACCAAACGTCCTATTCGAAATCAGAAAACGTATGATTTAACTTCGATCTTGATAGATTAATCTCGCATTTAAATCAGTATTTTTCGATGTTCCATTGCTGAGATCATCATGTCTGAAAATGACCATTTTGAATATGTACGTCGAGTCAGGAAGCACGAAAACTCGCCGAGGACTACATAAATGCTTCTGCTTCGCATCACATTAATAACTATTTAACTTAATAGAATAATCTATACTCTTCCTCTGATTATATCAAAATAAAAAAAGGGGGTGGTCGAAAATCATTAATTTTTACTCACGCCAGAAGTGCCATACTACGAAAGTTCTTGTTAGCTGGATCTGACATCCGTTTGTCTAGTACTGAGATCGAGGTACCTCCCTACGGGAAACAGCGAAAAACAAGGATCAGATATAGACAAATGAATATCGGATTTATGAACTAGGTGGCAGGGGACTTTCGTATTATGACATTTCTAGTGTAATGATTTTTCGATCATCCCCTTTTCAATGTAACATATAACTTAAAAAATATAATCATTCTTTATATGTATATGAGAAAGAATATTCCGAATCAATACTTTCAAAAGAATGTTATATTGCTAAATAGGATCAACATGAGAAATAGGCACGTAATCAGACGCCAAAAAATAAGTGCTGAGAGCCCTTCCAACAACTTTTTCTAGTCACGCCACTAATAAAATATCTACATGATTAATATCTTCATTCTAAAACCTTGTTACATTAGATTATTTTATTATTTACCTTTCATTTTGAAGATGAGAAACATTGTCGTTACAAAAAAAAAGAAATGTCTCGATTAGCTGTTTGATAAAGACAATATAACATCTATATATAAATATAATACCTATGTTTGTTAGATAAGAACGAAGAATTTAGATATTTCTATGTAAAAGATTTCTTATTTGCAAATATTCATCAAAATGACTACAACACATATAGATAATGTTGAATTAAAAAATTTTATACATTTTACTGATTTAGCTGAAGAATCATTAGAAATATTTCCGCCTATTCAAGGATATGAACAAGTACCATTAGTAACACTTGATGAAGCTATCGAACCATTATTATCTATTGTACCTGATATAAAACAAATGTTATGTATTATAAAAGAAAATTGTCAAGAAATAAAAGATGATTTAACAATAAATGAATCAGCATCAATTATGTTATATACAATTAATTGGCAACCAAAAGAATATTCATTAAATGTTATTTTAAATCGAACTTTACGTGATGAGAATCGTGAAAAATTAAAACCATGGTATCTCTATTTAAAATTATTCATGAAAGCATTATCAAAACTTCCATCAATACATTGTTATGTTTATCGTGGTATTCAGATGGATTTAAGTTTAGAATATCCACAAGGAAAAACATTTATTTGGTGGGGATTTTCATTATGTACTCGATCGTTAAATATATTTGAAAATGAACAAGATTTAAATAGACAAGAACAAAGAACACGATTTAAAATTGAATGTAAATCAGCTAAAGATATTCGTAATCATTCATTTTATAAAATAAATGATCAAATTCTTTTATTATCAGCACAACGTTATAAAGTTATATCATCTCTTAATTCCTCGAATGGTCTTCATATTATTCAAATAAAAGAAATTGATTCATTATCTATTTTACAATCAAATAATGATCATACATCATCAATTAGTTTATCATTTAGTCAACGAACACCTTCATTAAATATATCAATTCGTGATACATCATTCTGTTCAATTGTATTAAAATTAACGGTATGAATTAAGATATACTATTTGATAGATATAAAAATTATATTTTTTAGGGATCTCCATCAACTTCAATCTATCATAATACTCATTTAGAAAATTTATTAAGTCTTTGTAAACCAAATTCATTTATTGATTTATCTGTACGTGAATTAATTGATCAAGATATGCCAATTATTATACAACGTGCAATAATTGATAAAAAATGTAAAGGACTTTATTTAACAGGAAATAAAATATCCAGTCAAAGTATTTCAATATTATCTGATACATTATATAATAATATAACATTAGTTGAATTAGATCTATCTGATAATTATTTATCTGATAATGGTGTTAAAATTCTTATGGATGTACTTTTAACAAATAAAACAATACTTAAAAAACTTCATTTAGGTTCAAATAATATAACTGATCAAGGTGTACAATATCTAACTGATATGCTTAAAACGAATCAATCATTAACACATCTTATGTTAAATCGTAATTCTATAACTAATCATGGTGTAAATTTATTATCAAATGTTTTAGCTTTACAGAATATTTCACTTGAAGTCTTATCACTTTCATCAAATAGTTTAATAACAGATTTAAGTATTGATTCATTAATTATAATGCTTAAACATAATGAAACATTAAAAGAACTTGATATTCAATGTTGTAATATATCAAATATAAATAATCAACGTCTTCAACAAATAATTACTGAAAAAAATAATTTTAAACTCTATACACATACAAATGAAAATAGTTGTATTTTATCGTAATATAATATAATATTTTTTTTCTTCTTCTTTCTATTAAATATAATTGCTGAATAAGAAAGAATACATCAATATTTTATATGAAAAGAATAAAAAGAAAAACAACATAAGGTAATTTTATACTTATGTATGAGCAACATGCCTACACGCCCATATATATATATATAACTAGACATAGAAGTAGAAAAAATGAATGATTCATACTCTCTTTTCTTTTGTATACAATATGTCCGCATCGTACCAAATCAAATCTGAGCAACCTACAAATTTCATAGATCTTGATGATGAAGCATATACAAAGGATAGAAATAAGGTATGTAAAATTTAATATAATTAAAAATAAAAGTTTTATTTACAGGAAATATCTAATGCATCTCATGATAAACAATTAATAGAACAATTAATTGATAAATGTGATTCTTCAAATGTAAATTTATTACATCAACATTTGACGGATTCTGATATTTCAACTGTTATTAATGCAGCAATAATTAAGAAAAAATGTAATGAACTTCGATTAGGATATAATAATATTACATGTGAAGGTATAAAAATTTTAGTTGATGCATTACGAAATAATACAAGTTTAGAGCGATTAAATTTATTTGCTAATCAAATATCTGATCAAGGTGTATGTTATCTTACAGAAATGCTTTTATTGAATAATTTCAAGCTTAAAATACTTTTTATTGGTCAAAATCAAATAACAGATAAAGGTGTTGAATATTTATCTGAAATGCTTAAAACAAATACAATATTAACTCATTTAGGATTATCTAATAATAAAATAAGTGATGATGGTGTTATTCTATTAGCAAATGCACTTATGAATCATAATAAAACTTTAAAAGAATTATATTTATGGGGAAACCAATCGATTGGTGATAATTGTATTGATGCATTAGCTGATATGCTTGTATATAATCGAACATTAAATAAACTGATTTTATTTGATTGTAATCTATCTGAATTAAGTAAAGAAAGATTAAGAGAAGTAATTAAACCAAGAAATGATTTTGAACTATGCTTATAAAAGAATTTTCTTAGTTTCTTTTTTATTTATTATCAATTGTAAATCAAGAAAATATTTTTGTTCATATATTTATTTTCAAAATAAAATTCATAGAAACTATTATTGAATGTTCTTGCTATCACAATTGAAAAGTAAATCGATATATTTGCTATCAAATCATTCTTCGGGTGCAGATTACTAAATATCGGTTCAGATTTTCTCTCTAAAATTATTTTTTAATTCATCTGTTTACAATATTGGCTAGCACTCTTTAAAACAATCTTGATGATGTCTCTATAATAGTTATATTATAATGAAACTTAACTCCTGATTTAAGCTCTTGAAATACAAAATTATGGATCCAGATCTCATGCAAAAATTATCTTAATATCTTATCAAGTTCATATGTATCCAATGAATTGGAATCACCATTCTATGTTTTAGCATCTAGCAATGCTATTTCATATTTTCAATTATAAAAATAACTTATAGAACACAATAGTTTACGAATGTATACAAAAAGAATGTATCAATAGAAGAAAGAAGGTTGTATATTACAAAGAGAAAGTAATCGAGGCAAGGATATTCTCTATCTTTTTATAAGTTAGATACAAGGCTCGATCCTTGTCACATTACATTTAACCTTTAACAGCCAAAGCTTTTTTTTAAGCCAAGGATGAATGAATCACAGAAGCAGATATTCTAAATCATTAATGTACCTGTATACTATAGCCGAACATGTTAGCTGTCATCAGAAATTTTTCTACTTCTATAAGGGAAATAAACCCAGGTGATTAAATCCTATAGGAGTCCGGGAAATGAATTTTTTGATGGATCCGACGATTGCATTCTATTGCATTTTCGATAGCATTCGAGTATTACATTTGACGGTATTGTGATTGCCATCTTTCGATATGATCGTTTGCTCATTGTGTTGTTATGTATATAATTTGGAAGAAACTGTTGAAAATTTAGTCTAATTGAAGGGGTGATGGTAATGTTTAGGACTGTGTCAATCATAGGTTTAAACCTTGAATGCAAGTGCACTGTTCGAGAAAGTATGATCAGTTTTTGGTCTATTTTATCGTTAGTTATCGTATTGTAATAGATATCTTGAGGGTGTGATTGCAGATCATTATGATTCATCTACAAAGACATTCATCCACACCCTCACCCGACCTTCAAAGCTAAAAAAAGCATTACTTATTCAATAAATTTTTGTTACTTCTAATTGTAATATTTTCAGTGAAATAAATTGAAAAATTATTGAACAAAAAGAAATAATCTACTTATCAAAATTAAATTATATACTGATCGTATTTTAATTTTATGATTCACATTCAAAATTCTTTACTGTGCAAAAAATCTTTTTTTACTAATCCAAAATACCGATCATTTGAATACGAGCCTTTGTTATCCTTTGATAATATTCTTTAATAAAGTATGATAGGAACGATATCCTTAACCTTAATGGTATAAAAATATATTAAATAAAATATACGTGGCATCTGCTGGAACTAGAAATAGTATCACGGGATAACAAATAGAAAAATAATAAAGATGAACATAGAAAGAGTTTCCTTTACATACACATACAATAGTACATAAAACATATTCCTATTTGTCTTTAATAAATTGTAGTCGTTGAAGATCCATTATATGATTTATAGTTAGACACTGTATCACATAGTACTTATGATATAGATTCCATCTTTTAGATAACTAAATGTCAACAAACTAGACGTATCACTTATTTTGGTCAGAAGGATATGTCTTTATTGACTCTCATAGATCATTGAAATGAATGCCTCTTTTTTTTTATAAAACAGTCAAATTTTGAATTATTTTGCAATTCATTTCTCATTTAAGTTTAATAGAAGGAAAATTATTTATTTTATTTGGCACAAAATCAAATTCTCCATCAACTGTTTTTCCGCCTACTTGTTGTCTAATAAGAGCAGAGAAAGATATGTCCTTTTTCACATACATGATTTTTCCATTTAATAGCTTTCTGATAAAGATAAAACAATATATATTTATTCTATGTACATACCTTTTTCCATCTAACAGTTAATTTACAAATATAAAGATAAATATTTCCTGTTTTACATACATGATTTTGTTTCCACGTACTAGTTATATCATAAAGGTAGAAAAACAGAGGAAGAGAGAGATTTCTCTCGTTAGATTCGTTATTTTTTTAGCTCATGATTAATTTAAAATTGAATATAATGTTTTTTTTTGCTCAGCTGTTCTTTATCTATGATTTTGAGCCAGAAACTAGTAACGTGTGTATGTCAGAAGTAATGAGGATATTTATATTTTTTGATTTTCTCTGTTAGTTGCGTTGTTATAGAATTTTTTGTCATAAGGTTTTCCGCCTACTTTCTGATTTAATCCTGTTTTAGTTGTTTTGAGATACGATAATTCTCAATTTTTAGCTTTATTATGATTGTGTGAAAAACTCAGAGTAGTTATCGAGGAGAATATCTCTTCAAATTTTATAAAACATATTTTTTCTTTCGCCATTTGTAATTAACAAATTTTCGATATTTCTACGGCTGTTCCTTTTTTTAGTTGGAGCTTCTTGTCGAATATAATATGCAAAACAATCAAGTACATAACGAAGGTGTCATTGGAAATAATGAACCCCGCAAATGGTGGCATCGTCGTTGGATTGTGATTGTCGGCATCTCTTTTATCTTTTTAATAATTATTGCAGTTATTCTCTCTTTACTCTTGAAATTCGTCATTCTTGCACCGAAAGAGTCAGAAACCTTTAACAGTACCGCAGCATTACCTTCGTTAACAACAATAGTATCAACACCATCACCACCAGCAACAACAACAACAACAACACAAACAACACCGACACTGTCACCATTAATAACAACACAGACCACATCGACATCAACATTACCATCATCAACAACAACAATAACAACGACGCAAGCAACATCCCCACTACCATCATTAACAACAACACAGGCCACATCGACATCAACATTACCATCATCAACAACAACAACAACGACGCAAGCAACACTCCCACTACCATCACTAGCAACATCTACGATCGCTAATCAACAGCCAGGTAATGCTTCACAACTTCCCTAAATGCTACTTTTCAATCAGATATTATGTTGTTACTTCGCATCCAATAGTAATCTGTATTTAAAGGATGAACGATCTTGTCATGGGTAATGCAATCTTTATCATAAGAAAAAACGAAGTAATAGTAATCACTTTGTCGATTATTTTTCATCAATATTGAAGTTTACTTTGATAAGTTGGCATTTATAGAATGAAATCCATTCTTTCTCTTCATTTTGTATCAGTACATATCCTACTTTTTAACATGTAATGCTTTATTTTTGAATTTATTCTGAATTTAAAAAAGAGCATTTGATTTCAGAATGAGATTGAAATCTGTCCGACCTTTAGAATTCAATAACACCGTTATGGAATTTTACAAACTGTGAAGATCGAGTTTCTTTGAATTTAGATAACTGTAGAGTTTGGTGTATAAGTTTTGCCAGACAAAATAAATTGAATTTTTCCGTTTAGGTTGGCTTAATACTGGTTGCTTAAATTATGCACGACAACAACACACAGCATCTGTATTAGCATCTGGAAAAGTATTAGTTACTGGTGGATTCAATGGTTCTCCTTTAGAAAGTGCTGAGTTGTATGATTTGACAACAGGCACTTGGACCATTACTGATAGCATGAATCATGCACGACGTGACCACACCGCATCTGTATTAACAAATGGAAAAGTTTTAGTTTCTGGTGGACAAGATAGTAACGCTCGTCTAGATAGTGCTGAATTATATGATCCATTAACAGAAACTTGGATAAATACTGGCAGCATGAATAATACACGATCTGCTCACGCAGCATCCATATTAACAGATGGGAAAGTGTTAGTCACTGGAGGAGTTCGTATTAGAGAAGATCTGAATGGCGCTGAAGTATATGATCCTTCATCAGAAACTTGGACAGTTACTGATAGTATGAAAAATGCACGATTTTTTCACACATCATCCACATTAAGAAATGGAAAAGTGTTAGTTACTGGTGGATCTAAGATTAATATTGATGTTAGGTTTATAGCTCTAAATAGTGTTGAGTTGTATAATCCATTAACAGAAACTTGGGCAATTATTGCTAGTATGAATCATGCACGAAGTTCACACACGGCGTCCTTATTAACAAATGGAAAAGTGTTAGTCACTGGTGGACATAATATTTCTGATGCGCTGAACAGTGCTGAATTATATGATCCATCAACAAAAACTTGGACAACTACTGGCAATATGAATCATCCACGACAACTACACACAGCATCCTTATTAGCAAATGGAAAAGTGTTAGTTACTGGTAGTAATAGAGGTGATTCTCTGAATAGTGCTGAATTGTATGATCCATTAACAGAAACTTGGACATTTATTGATAGTATGAATCATGCACGAGGTGCTCACACAGCATCCGTATTAACAAATGGAAATGTGTTACATACTGGCGGAGTGCAACGTAATCTGGTTTTGAATACTACAGAACTATACTATGATTAATCTATTTGAACACAGACATATATTTTTAGTCGACATAATCTCTTTTCATCAAGTCCTATTAAGAAATAAAAAAATTTTAAAGCCATTTTTTTCTAAGTACTCTCTGCTATCAGTGTATTATTCCAGTGTTTCTGTATTTCTATCAAAACCATCAGTTTTGTATTAGATTTCTTCTGAGATGCACGTTGAAATTTGAAATAAAATATTTTCTCAGCAACCTGCTATCAATAAAACTAATTCATTCTGAACGTTTCACATTGCAAAAGTGGTGGATGTGAAGCTAGGCTGAATATAACACTCACACCCACCCTTTAAATTTCTTCAAATCACGTTTTAGCGAACGAAAATCAAAGTAATATTTTTATAGAGACTACTGCATCATCCGTTACAATTATTTACTTCTTAGAGGACTAGATTATTTTTGAATGCATCAAATTCGAGTAATCTGTTCAATTAGCTTTTTGTGTAGCCATAGAAATACATATTAAAAGTAACTTATAGATTCTCGCATGTGATACAGTTTGGAAAAATTCTGGAATATTCTTTTTATGTCGTTCTCCAAGAGATTACATATTATTTTTTATGAGTTATGTTGATGTAAATATTAATAATAAATATCAATATATTTAATTCGCATTTATATTATTTTTTTTTGATAGAATATGTATATTTTCGTAACTATACTTGTATCTCAAAATTTTCTAAGTCTCTAAAACCGTTGTTATTGTGTAAGTGTAAGAGAAATTAATTAAAAATAAGCAAGTAGTTTCATTTAGTTCTGGATACTAGAATAAAATACGGTTTTAATGATAAAGTTGATACCCTACAATATTTTTTGATTAAATATAGCCGAAGCAATTCAAATTAAAAAGAAACATACTATTAACATTCTGGAAATCATGACTGCTTCACAACAATATTAATAATAATTATAAAATCTAAAATGGATTGATAGCAACTGACATGAATTTTATTAATTATTTTCTAATAAACAATCTAGTATCTTCTTTTTCTTATTAAGATAAAGAATAGATAATCATAGTATAAATTTCTAATTTACATCAATGAATGATTTTTTTTATTTAAAAATAGTCTATCAATCTTAACCATATGTAGATGATCAGACGAAATTTTCTCACTCTGTAAAAAATATTGTGTTTGTTCTTTTACGCAGTTAATAGATTTGATGATTATAATAAATTGTTCTCGATAGATATTTGCCGAAAGAATATAAAGAAAAAACGAAACAAAATAATCGCATTGTTGCCATGTTACAAAAATCAAACGTATTGCTATTATATTAGGTGTTTGAGTTGATGGTATAAATGAATTTATACTATAAAGAATTCCAAATGGAAGTACAAGAATAATATGAACAATAACTTGAAGAACCAACATCCGAGCTAATTGACCTTCTGTACGACGTCGTTGTGTCGATGTAATTAAAGGTTTTATTCGAGTTGATTGTTGATGTATATTATAAATTGTTAATATACCAAAAGAAATCATTAATATCGGTGATAAAATATAATAAATAATAACTTGACTACATATATAAATACTTATAATTGTGTTAGAGTTTAATAAACATTTTCTCAAGTTTTTATCCCAATTGTAGATAAATAACATTGGTAACATGTAAATAAGACAAAATAGAATACTAGATAGAATATATTTTCTTGCTATTCGTATAGAACTTGTTGATTGAAGTCGACATATTTGTGAACTAGAACAATAACGATCAAATGAAGCTAAAATAATCATAATATTAGCTTGAAGTGGTATTACAAATAATAAATACGCATGTATTTTACAAGAAATTTTTCCATGAATTAAATCAATAGAAAAACCTCGAGCAAATTGTATTGGACATAATAAACATGCGTAAATAATACTTAAAATAGCATAAGCTAGAAAATAATGTGTACATGCTGATAAATGAAGAGTACGAGAACATAATATACGTATATTAAATGTATTTGTAATAATAGCAAGTAAGAATTGTATAGGTTGTGTATAAATATTTGTTCGAAGTACCAATTCAATAATGTTACTCATAACTTTTCATTATATAAAGTACTCTTCAAATAAATATCTCTAAAAGAAATAGTTTAATTTATATAATTAACATGTTTATTATTTGCCATATGAAAGGCATAAAATCAAATTATAGAATTTATCTTTATTCTTTGTTATGATAAAGAATCAAGGTCAAGATTTACGTCAAAAGGAATAAAGAATAATTTTTGTAAATTATCATTAAATAAATGACTCGTTTCTATAACAACAAGCTACATAGGGCAGTCAAAAAGTTCAGTCAACAGCATTTTTTTACTTATAGAAAGCTCGAAAAAATTTTCTTTTTGTATAAAAAGATAGAGTATTTTTTCCTCTATTCATCTAATATCATAGTAACAGAAATTTGATAAGAATGATTCTTTTTTATCTTCAGCTCGTTATTAGATCTTAATGGATGAAACATTTTTGTATCTCATTTTATCATCTTTAAATGCGTTGTATTAAAAAATCAAATATACCTCAAGATGCAGCGTGAAAAGCCTGTTTTCGCAACCTCGAAATTTGGTCACTCAGAGTTTTACTTGTTTCGAGGACAAAAGAGTATAACTATACAATATGTGGCCATATATGAATTGTAGAGCTTTTCGCGCTGCATCTTGTGGTATATTTGATTTTTTAATACAACGCATTTAAAGATGATAAAATGATATACAAAAATGTTTCATCCATTAACATCTAATAACGAGCTGGGGGTAAAAAAGAATCGTTTTTATCAAATTTCTGTTACTATGATATTAGATGAATAGAGAAAAAATACTCTATCTTTTTTATAGAAAAAGAAGAAGTTTTCGAACTTTCTATAGGTAAAAAAATGCTGTTGACTGAACTTTTTGACTGCCCTATGCATGTCAACTAAAATATGTTTTGTAGTATAGAAATAGTTTTTTTGTCCAAAAATCAACGAAGGGTCAAAAAATACTGAATTTGAAAAGTTTTCATTTTTCCTGTGTCGCGTATAATTTACTCAACTGCTTAATTAATGATCTGAGGTAGGGTTTTGCAAAGAATTTGTTTTAAGTGATCTAAGGAACAGGAGTTCAAGCAAAAGTACTGGAATCGGACTTCCTGTTTTGTGAAGCATATTTATAAGTCTACACCATTCTTACATATATGAATTAGAGAGGATTAATAAGAGGTTGTCTTATAGAGCGTCTGTCACTCCACCTTTCTATCACCGAGACAAATTTTTAAATATATGAATAAAAGCTAATATAATTTTTAGAAAAATAGCAGTAAACTTAAAAATATTATGAAATTAAAAAAAATAATTAATTAGAAAAGAAACGTATTGACATATTCTCAGTTCTCACCTATTATCTTTATTTTTATAAAATAAGGATAAAGTAAAGGTAAAGAAGCATCTCTATTCTATTAGACATAGTCATTATGGACCGATAAATAATCAAGAGTACTTTAATATATATAATTGGGTTTAAAAATAAACAAATTTATCACTTGGAAAAATCATAAACATGATTTTCTTATTTGACTGCAAGTATAATGCTGCTAACGTTTCACCATGATATAATATTATTGTAACTATTATCTGAAATTATAAAGTAAAGAAAACTTCATTACATATGAAATATCTAAAGAATTCACACTTAATTTTAGGTTAATATTTTATGTTTCAAGAAAAAGATTCCTACTCTCTCTCTATCGTTTGAAATACGCATGTCTTTTTGCCGGAAGCCATATGGCTCTTCTAATGGAAATGAGAAGAAAACTAAACACTGTAATGAACATGGCAGAAAGCATGATGTTAAACGCATAGGTGAACTATTTGCAACTCTAAGGCATCATATATTTAGTCTATAATTAAAAAGAATCCACGCACTTATATAAAATATTTTCAATTAAATTTTATAATAACTATATTTCGAGAGTGTAAGAAATAGAAATCAATTAGTATATATATATAAAAATTTCTGATAGAAAAAAAACTATCTTGCCCTCAAGTTTTATCCTTGCATGTGAGAACGTTAGAGAAGTGCGTTTCATAACAGACATATAATCCCATCACATAAATAAAACGAAAACAACTTTTTGACTGACGTATGTCGTCAGTTAAAAGAATAAGACACACATATAATTACGTTGATACGTCATATAAAAATAGCGTGTTTTTAACACATCTTGTCATATTCAAGAAAATAACATTATGAGACAATCTTTATTGAAGATTCTAATATTTGGTACTGACGTTAAAGTTACTGTTTGCTCGACTTCGTACTGAAGAATAAATTAACTATTTTGTAATTTTTCAATAATTATTAGTCAAGATTTAATATTAAAATAATACTGAATGAAATATTTCTTCATATATTATGCTTTCTAGTATTATAATCTAATAATTGATCTTACATTATTAAATAGTAATATGATTAACATTAATGTAGAAAATTTTCTTTTTCAATTGTATATGATGTGAAGATAAAAGACAAATAATGTGTCATTTGTTTTGTATAAGAATGATTATAATAGATAAAAAAGTCTACTTACTGCTCAGACATTAACGTCATTGTTCTTTTGATTCAAAATGATATTATGATAAGAAAAATTATATATATATAGTTTTTGTAAGTATTGTATTTTATTATGTAGCAAAACAAGTTATTTATTATGCCGATTAATAAACTGACATCACGACAACGTCAAACAACTTTCGAAACTATTGAGCCTATATTTTATAAAATATTCAATGAAAGTTATTGGACTTTTCCTGAATGGATATTAGAACGAATACCACGAAATGTTAATACCAAACGACTTAGTTTAGATGACTATAAAATGTCAAACGGCTGGCTCTATGAAAGTTACAATACTAAAGGAATGTAAGTAGTTCTATTATACAAATAAATAAAAATATTTTTATTTCATATACATTTCGTTGTGTAAAATGTATCAAGAATGGTATGAAAGAATGTGATGCAACATGGTCTTCGTCTTACACTACTGTCTTGTTTCGAGCCTATTATGAAGATATGTGGTTAGGTGGAAGGGTTCAAATGAAAATATATGCTCAACAATGCAAAAAATGTGGAGAATATATGACCGCTGAATTTGAAAAAGAACAACTGAATTCTCTTGCTAAATGGTTATATCGATGGATTGCTAGTCATTTTTATAACATTTATTTCAATGATCATGGTTATCAAGGGAGAAGAAGGCTTGCAAAACATCGTGACGATCTATGTGAAGCATGCGATGCTGGATGGTGTTATTATCTGAAAGTTGAAAACTCCAAAAGAGGATAAACCCGTGAAAAAAAGACAAAACATAGATTGACATGTTTTAAACAATTTTTCAGTTTCGATTTTTTTTATTTAGTAAAATTTTGTATTAATTTATTATGACATATTAGCAGTACCTTGTACTAACACAAGAATTTATTAAGACATAATCAGATGAATATAAGAATTAAATTAATATTAAAAAATGTTATCATATAAATTTACTTCGGAATTATTTAATCAACGAAAAGTTAATTCAATTAAACGAATAATAAAATTTCTTATAATATATTTAAGATATACTGTATTCTAAAATTGTTATGTAGATTGTTCTACATAACATTCTATGTGTAAAATATTTTCGTAGAACAGATAACAGAATGAATGAAAACAACACGTGCATTTTTTTCTTTATCCATCGATATAACAATAGAAGCGAAACATAAATAAATATCTTATCGAGACGGTTTAAAATTCTTTTAGTCATATATAAACAAATTAGATTTGTATAAAATATATTTTTTCTTTATAGATTCGACTGTTATTTGAATAATCATGAGTCAATCTACTACTATACAAGGTCGTCCACCTTATCCACCATTTACAAAAGAGAGTGCTATACAAAAAGTTCGTGCTGCTGAAGATGCTTGGAATAGTCGTGATCCACAACGTGTTTCATTGGGTTATAGTGAAGACAGTTATTGGCGAAATCGTTCTGAATTTATCAATGGTCGTGAAGAAATTGTTACATTTCTTACATGTAAATGGAGAAAAGAAATAGACTATCGTTTAATTAAAGAATTATGGGCTTATAATGAAAATCGTATTGCTGTTCGTTTTGCTTATGAATGGCATGATGATTCAGGTAATTGGTTTCGATCTTATGGAAACGAAAATTGGGAATTTAATGAACATGGTTTAATGATTCAACGTTATGCTTCAATCAATGATTTACCAATTGAAGAAGGAGAACGTAA